CACAAAGGACACGCTAACGGCCGGGCCTCGCCTCGCACCGACACTTTGGACCCGCTACAGAACAAACCACCGGCCAAGTCCGGCATCCGGCCCGATGGATTTCCTGTCCTTCCTCCGATCCGCAAGCCGGAGAACCCGCGGGTGGACCCGTACGCCAACAGCAAACTGCTCACCTACAGACTGGCCAACACACAGAAAAGTCTGCTCATGAAGATCCTGTAGGTGTTGTTGATGGTGTCTGTGTTGACAGTTGTCTGTTTGTGTTGACAGTTGTCTGTTTGTGTTGACAGTTGTCTGTTTGTGTTGACAGTTGTCTGTGTTGACTGTTGTCTGTTTGTGTTGACAGTTGTCTGTTTGTGTTGACTGTTGTCTGTTTGTGTTTGTTGACGAGTTTCTTTGTTTGTGGCAAAATGTACATGTGGATGGTTGGCGGGTGCTCTGGTGTTGTCTGCTCCTTCTTTCCTAGCAAACATCTATCGTCTTTATCTCTCCTCCTTCTTGTTTGTGTTTGTTACTCTCTTGTAACACCTCTAATCTTCGGCACTTCTATGACCTTTTTGTGTTCAAGTGCCGTAAAACTCTTACTAAAATTAAAAAAAGGATGTGTTGTATGTTGTGAGGAATGACACGGTGTGTTGTGTGTCTTGTTGTGTGTTGTGTTGTGTGTTGTGTTGTGGGTCGTGTTGTGTGTCGTGTTGTGTGTCGTGTTGTGTGTTGTGTTGTGGGTCGTGTTGTGTGTCGTGTTGTGTGTCGTGTTGTGTGTCGTGTTGTGTGTTGTATTGTGGGTCGTGTTGTGTGTCGTGTTGTGTGTCGTGTTGTGGGTCGTGAGGAATGACACGGTATGTTGTGTGTCGTGTTGTGTGTCATGTTGTGTGTTGTGAGCTCTGACACAGTGTGTTGTGTGTTACAGGAACAAAGAGGCGGCTCAGGTGGCCGGCGAGGAAAACTTTTACTTCCGAGAACACAAGGACGATCCGAAACCTGAGGAACCGGGGATGCCTGATGAGGTGGGTGTGAGGGTGGGTGTGAGGGGGGGTGTTTATGTGTGTGTGTGTGTGTGTGTGTGTGTGTGTGTGTGTGTGTGTGTGTGTGTG